GGTTTTGCGGCCCCCCCCCCCCCCCCACCCCTCTCCCCTTACAGACCATAGCAACGAAAGAGAACATTACACCCACATACCCCCCTCCTCTTAAAGACCATAGCAACCAAAAAGAATATTAGATACACATACCCCCCCCCCCCCCCCTTATTACAGACCATAGCAACGTAGGCTACCGTTACAGACAGCCCCCCATTACAGACCTTGGCAACTTCGTGAAAATAAAAATTTCTGTTCGAAATTTAGAGATAAAAATTTAACATTTTCTAATAATCGATTATCTTTAGAAAATAACTATTATCTTTTGGAGATTTTAAATATTGGGTATTGTGCCATTAGTATAATGAAACCAAAGAAGATATGTGAGTTCCACATTTCAGCCCCAACGGGGCTGCGCTAACAAGCTTTTCTATCTGTGAAAAAGGCAAATTTTTCTTGTTGAGATCAGTAGTGATACTTAACAAACCGTCTCCCTCGACATGTCTTTATGGATATAAAGCTTATATATGCTTCTATCACTAGTAAAAAAAATCAGCTTCGTTGCTCGAGCCGTAAGGGAGATATTCAATTGTTTTATCGAGTGCGTGACTTTTGGGCCATATTCAGGGTGGCCCAAAAGTCAGTTTGCCAAAATAAAAATTGTGTATCTCCATTACGGCTCCAGCAAACGAGGTGATTTTTTAACCATTAATAGAGGCATGTTCAAGCTTCATATCAATACAGACATGCCTAGACAGATCCTCTGTTAAGTATACTGCTTTGTTTTCTATCTGTGAAAAAGTAAATTTTTTTGTTGAGGCCAATAGTGATACTTAATAAAGGATCTCCATGGGCATGTCTTTATGAATACAAACTTAGTACATGCGTCTATCACTGGTAAAAAGATCAGCACGTTTGTTCGAGCCGTAATGAAGATGTTCAATTTTATTTTTGTTAGATGAATTTCCGGACACCGTGTTTTTAATAAAAAATCCCCGTATTTTTTGATTTAGATATCGACAATGTTTTTGAATGAAATTTAACTGTTTCCGAGAAGAATTTAAATAACGGTTACATTTCACTCAAAAACAGCTTTCGTTATATAAATAAAAAATGAGAGGATTTTTAATAAATAGATTCACTAAATCAACTTGCAACCTACGACAATTTACATTTACTCTTGGATTTGTAAGACTTCGAATCGTAGACATGATTAGCAATTGTTGCTTCGTCTTCGTTAAGTCGTTTTGTTAAGTCGATCATTTTCGGATTGATCTAAATAAAAGAAAAAACATAATTTCCATAAAAAATACTTTTCTTTTTGTTGTGAATATTGTTCTGAACCAACGAAAAAAATCATTTTATAAATGAGCACTCACTTTTTATTGTGATCTCAAATCGATCTAAATGAGAGAAACAAATAAAGGGTGATCCAAAAGTCTTGGGCCGTCTCAGAAAAATTGTTCGTTCTCCCTTATAGTAAACTCAAAAATGCTCAAACTCTGGTATCTTATCCCTTGTAAGTAGGCCAATATTATCCCAAAGTTTCATGTCTTTATCCCTTATTATAAGGGAGATATATAGGCTAACATTCTAGAAATCTTATTTTTCCAAGTCCAAAAAATAATGGTTGGCGCATAATACATGTACATGGGTCACTTTTGCGTTTCATTTTTCCATCACATGATAAGTAAACCAAATATACCGCAAGATGCAGCATGAAAAGCTCTACAATCTACACAGTAAAGTGTATTTTAATTATATAGTTTTTGATTCAAAAAAAAATCGAAACTCTATGCAATCAATTTTTGCGGTCGTAAAAAAATCTTCTTTTTCTACTCGAACGAAAAATTCGTTTTTTTTTCACTTTTTTGTGACCTAATACATTTTATTAAGAAAAAGCAAAATATACCACAAGATGCAGCGTGAAAAGCTTTACAACCTACACAGTAAAGCGCATATTAATTATGTACTTTTTGTTTTCAGAAAAAAGCAAAACTTTGCGCTATCAGTTTTTGCAATGGCAAAATTAATCGTACAGAGTATTGCTTTTTTTCAAAAAACAAAAATTACATAATTAAAATGCACTTTACTGTGTAGATGGTAGAGCTTTTCACTCTGCATCTTATGGTATATTTTGTTTTCTTTATAGAACGTATCAAGTGGTGGAAAAATGAAACGCAAAAGTGACCCATGTACATGTATTATGCGCCAACCATTATTTTTTGGACTTGGAAAAATAAGATTTCTAGAATGTTAGCCTATATATCTCCCTTATAATAAGGGATAGAGACATGAAACTTTGGGGTAATATTGGCCTACTTACAAGGGATAAGATACCAGAGTTTGAGCATTTTTGAGTTTACTATAACGGAGAACGAATAATTTTTCTGAGAGGAACCCAGACTTTTGGATCACCCTTTACTTTACATAAATGCTTACTTGGTCTCTTGGAGTTGAGATTACTCTAAATAAAAGAAAAATATTATAATTTCTGTAATAAATACTTACTCGCCATTGTTATCTTGAGAGTTGTCTAAATTAAAGAAACAAAAAGTCATCTATATAGATAAATAGATGTGTATTTTGACATTGTTCTGACCGCCGGTATACTGCGATACTTAAAAAAGCCGCTTGTATACCGTAGTACTCAATAAAACCGTTGGTATACCGCTGGTGTACCGGCGGTAGTTTAAATAAATGCACGACATTGGAAATTCGTGTAGATCAGACGATGAGAATGTCTTCATTGAAATTGATTCTTCCATAAGTAAATTTATAATATGGAACCATCAGTATATACGTTAGAGTTACTTTTAGAAATATCTTCTGAGTTTTTATATGGGTGGTCCTGGTATTATCGATGGCAATGAACATCCAGAAACGGATAATTTTCTTCCATGTCAATTTGTTATTGATAAAGTAAGATATTCGTCTGCTGAAAATTACTTTCAATGTGCTAAAACGACAAACGAGCGAGATCGACTAAAGATTTTGACTTCGGGACCAGGTGATTCATGTGAATTAGCTGGAAAGACAGTGCAACTACGATCAGATTGGGAATCGGTTAAAGTAGATGAAATGTATAAAGGAAATTTGGCTAAGTTTCAGCAAAATGAAGATTTAAGAAAAGCTCTGTTAGAGTCTGGTACAGGACCTATTCTTTTTACTGAATCATCACCGTTTTGGAATTATTGGAATGATTTGATCTTGCAAAGAATTCGAGCTGAACTACGTCAAAACGGTGAAGAAGATTCTCGTCGTGCAGCCGAAACTCGTGAAGCAATGAATAAATATGCTCAAGAAAATAAATAGCTTCGTCATGAGCTTTTTTGTGAACGACTTACGGATTTCTATTTTTATTGATCATAACTAAAAACATAAAAGTGTTGAGTAAGTTGAATGATGAATAATGTAGCAAATCATTTACACAAATAGTTAACCAAAACGTTCTTGTTTTCGGGATACAACGTTGAATAGTGCTTTTACCACTGATGCAATCGAGGCAGAACACTGATGAATACGATGCTCTTGTTTCATCGCTAATCAAGTGAAAAAGAGCTCTATTATATAGGATAGATTAAAAGGTGATTTTGAGAAAGTGAATTTCTGAGGGTGTGTGTGTGGGAGTATGTAGGTGCGGGTGTGGGTGGGGTGGGGTG